ATAATAATAATAATAATAATAATAAAGCACCCAGAAGGTGCTTTAAATACTCCATGATGGTATATATAAAGCACTCTTTACTGGGATCTGAAGTTCAAAAGACCTAGATGACCAAAGGCTGAGAACCACTGCCCTAGTATACTGGTTATCACTGCAGTTAAGCCAGTCCTTCCCTTCTCCAGCACTTACCTTACTTGTTTTTTGTTTTGCATAGAAAAGGTTCAAGAAGAAATTGACTTGATCATTGGACGTGACAGGGCTCCTTCCCTTGCCGACAAAGCACGCATGCCCTTCACAGAAGCAACCATCATGGAAGTTCAAAGGATGACGGTGGTTGTTCCTCTCTCTATTCCTCGGATGGCATCAGAAACTACAGGTATGTGCAACAGGCTAAATACGTCTGCAATTCTTCTAATAGGATACAAGTTGATTTTATCAGAGAACCAATTTAGATTTTGGAAAGAAATATGGGATGCTGTGATTTGAACAGACGTTTACATCTGCTCATCTTGCTTCTGCTTTAACTTATGATGGAGATGCTCACTGCTCGTTTGTTGGGATATCTCAAATGTTCATTTCAACTTGGAGATGGCACATTCTCTTGTATCCAAAAACAAAAAGTAAATATGGTGTTGCCTCCTGGATGCTTCTAAGGCTGGAAAAATGGCCTTTGGAATTTGCCAACCCTGTGTAAAAAAACAAACAAACATCTGTTTTATCTCTTTGACATATGATTCCGTTCCAAGAGAAACTTTAAAACCTTAGTGATAGCATTTTGGACATAATGGTTGCAACCGCTGATCTAAAATCTACAATCATACAAACACACAAAAACCAGAATAAATTAAGTGTGATTGCAGCCACACAGAACATCCAGATTGCCTGTTGCAAAACTGAGCAGTGTATAGGCACTGCCTGATGGGGAGGCCATTCCATGCATAAAATTTGCAGATGAGGATTGCCTTCTTCTCCTAGGTTGCAGAAATTATCTGCAAGCACCTCTTTTCATCTCCACCCCTTTCCCTGCTGCTGATCTGTTCATTACAGTTTCTGAAAATCAAAGTTAGTCCCAGCTTTGGGAAGTAACTACTGTACTTGCCAGACAAACAAATTTACTGTATCTTGGCATCAAGCAGGTGCTTCGGTGCAAGGCTGTATCTGGAGCTACATTTTAAAGACGTCATGTGAGAGGCCAGTTTTTCATATGCAATGGCTAGATATCAATACTGACTTTGTTCCGATGCTATCACCAATTCCTTGGAGACAAATGCAAAGGTTATTGTAAAGTGTTCCTCGCACCTTTGAACTGGATGATATGGGAATATGACTTGTAAAATCTCAAGCAAAAGGACCATTATATCAGAAGAACCTGAAGATTAAATCAAGAGTCCATTGCAATATGTTTGGGTTCAAAGCTAAGTACAAGTTCAGATAATAAAGCAAAGAGGAAGAGACTGTCCCTGCAAAAACTGGAAAATATAAAAAATGGCAAAGAACTACTCGCCACAGAAACTAGTATGGTTGTGTTTACAAGGCCACCCCCAGGAAAGTCCCCCCCAGGCACCCAGAGACACCAATATCAGAGAGAAGCTTCTACTGACTGTCCTCTACAATTCTTTCAAGTTTGGTGAAGATTGGGTTTCAGACATCCAAGTTATACACCCACAAAGCGGGTTCCCCAGGAAACTTTAGCAGCTGGCTTGGGGAAACCCAAGAACTGTAGCAAGCTCTCCCATGCTGCCGTTTTAAATCAGAGAAGGCCAAGGAAGTAGCAGCTTAGACCCAGAAGGCATTGTATCTGCTGATTGGAATAACATCAGGGATGTAAATCTTCTAAATTTCCCCCTTTCCCTTTGAAGAAACGGATAGATCATGATCCAAGGAACCAGCACCTTCTTAAACTCCTTTGCTTTAAAAGGGTAGCATAAGAGAGCTTTTTCTATGTGCATTTTTTCTGGGAATATACAGTAACATGCTTTAACCAGAAGCTGGTTTTTTTAAGCCACATGTTGGCTGGAGGATTCTGGCAGGAATCTTTTTTTTTACTATCACTCCCAGAATCCTCCAGCCAGCATAGAGCTGGAGTTTTTTTTTTTTTTTAAACTCAGCTTTTAAATTTCTGGCTAAAACACATTCTGTCTACAGAAAAAGCAGAACATTCAGAGCATTACTATATTGCAATGCTTCCAGCATCCGTTTGAGCTTACCCCTACCCCAAGGACAGGAAGAGTGCAATGCAGTTTTAAATTCACTTTTGTACACCGTGATCAAGTGTACTTAAAATAATCCATACAAATATTTCAAGCTATATTTCTGTCACTCACACAAGGGCAAACATGTAAGCCAAGCAAACATCCCAGATCTTCTTTCATTGGCATGTATTAATTTACTTAAAGAATGGAATACTACCTAAAATATGGCTGCAAAGAAGGACTTTTGCAGTTAAAGCTTCCTGCACATTGGGGGAGATGAAGATCAATCTTAGGAGAACAGAGTAGTAAGATCAGGAATCTCTCTCCCCCCCTTCTCCCTCTCCCTCCCTCCTTTCCTCCCACCCTTCCATCTGCCCTGGTTGGCAGTGTTCAGGGGAGTTCTGCAAGCAGTTTGTCCATGATGTATTCTTTTTCTGCTTCAAAAGGTCATAGACAGAACTCATGAAGAATGGACGGTGATAAAACATGCATTCTTGCTAGAGTTTTGTAGATCTTTTGTTAATGAGTTACTTTTCCAACTAACCATGTTATCAAGGGCTTGGTTTGCAGTGCAGTAAACTGCAGCATGGATTTTGCAGTGTTGTTTCACAAGGAGGTGCATCACCTCCTTTAGCAGCTGATGGATCTGAAGTAAGAATGTGTTTGGATGTCGATATCCATAGCTGTAAGACTTTTTAAAAAGAAGTTTTTTAAATAATATTTTCCTTCTCTTAGGTCTCTGGTAGAAAACGTCACTTGTTTTCCTTCTTCCTAAAAACCACAATGAGTTTAAATCATTGGGTAATGCATAGTTGTAGAGATGGGCACAAACAGGAAAACATGGCTTGTGATGGTTTGTAGTTTGTGGTTACCCACAAATTACAAACTATCATGAACTCCTGAAAAACAAGCTGGTTTGGGAAAACATGGCTTGTGATGGTTTGTAGTTGTGGTTACCCACAAAGCTGGTTTAGGACTTGTTTTTCAGGTTTGTGCCAGAGGGTGAGTGGAACTATGAGCTACATGTGCCTTTTCTAAGTTGTGCTCTGTGGGTGGGAATGATGGGTAATGGTGTCCTATTGGGAAAGGCTTATTATTGTCGAGTAGTGCAACTCACTTGAAAAGATGCCATGTAAATCACTGGATGAAAGAAATCTTATCAGTGGGAAGAAAGCCTTTTCCATAAGCATAGCCAAAGTATTTACATATGGTTAACTCTCTTTTTGATTTGTTTAAAGTTCTCCAGGGCTACAAAATTCCTAAAGGAAGTATCATCATTCCTAACTTGTGGTCAGTGCATCGAGACCCCAAGATATGGGAGAGACCAAATGACTTCTATCCAGCCAGATTTCTAGATGAAAAAGGCCAGCTCCTCAAAAAAGAAACATTTATTCCTTTTGGAATTGGTAATTCAACACTATTTTGGGATGAAAGATTTCGATGGGATAGTTGGTTTCGATGTGATAGTGTTAAAATTATGTGTACTACATATTATTCACATAAGTTCAGACTGCTTATTTCACTCTTGCTTTCTACAATCTAGTCAACTGAAAAGCTTGGAAGAGTTACTTCTTTTGGAGTACATTTTCTTCAGTCAGCAGTATTCTGGAAGTTGTAGTTTTAGGACATTGCCTTATTTTGCACAAGTTAACGTGGCATGCTGGGCTCCAAAAGTGGTCCTCCAACACTGCTGTCTTCTCTGCACTTTGACATCTAGGTAGCTGAGTGGATTGAGCACCTGGTTGTTGAGCTATCCTGGCGGGTTGGACACCAGGTAGCAGCAGATGGGAGTGAAGGTCCCCCACTGTACCGCAAGAAGAGAGCCAGTCTATGTAGTTTCTTTCAAGCTGAATGATCTCGGAGCATGGGAGAGGATGGGGAAGAGTTTGATGGCAACTGCAGATTTCCCCCTCTTCTCCTGAACATATTTATTTATGGAAGATGAAGGTCTCTCCTCCCTTCATGTGAATGAAAAACAGCATCATAACTGTGTCTTGGGGACACGAAACTCTGCCCCAGTTTCACTATGTTTCTGTGTCTTCTGTCTACATCAGTGTTTCCTCACCTGGGACTCGTGACCCCCAAGGGGGTCACAAAGTGGTTACTTGGGGGGACGGGATTGTGACTCGGCAAAAGCTGGGAACCACTGGTCTACATGATCATCCTACCTATGATTTCTATGGTGGGGTTATGAGACTTTTATTTGTTCTTCTCACAAAGCAATTCATGTTTTTGGTAGACATTTTTTAAAATCTGCATTTCCCCAACTGACTACACCATGGTTGTGCATATTTTTAAGTGGCATATATTTTTTTAAAAAACGTACTTGTGGTTTTGTGCATGTCTTATTTCTCTGAAACACACTGCAGACCTCGCAAATGTGAAGCAAGATGCCCTTCGTCATACAATGGCCAGCATAAGCCACATCGAGGCAGTGGATATAATTAATTTGATTCATTTTTATGCTTTCTAAACCAGAGTTTCAGCTCCTGAGGCTAAGTAGGACTTCCTTTTGCCCTTGAGAAGCCTTTGGCAGCCTTAGGGACGGGAGAAATTTTAATAGTAAAAAATGCTGCTGGATTGGTAGCTACAGTGATCCCAATCTTGCAGGTGGTGATCTGGCAGCATTTACTATTAAAAGCTCACCCACCCCCTCAGTCCCAAGGCTCCTAAAGACTTTCCAAAGGCAAAAGGCAGCTCTAGAGAACCTTGAAAGCAGAAACAGAGGGGGTAGGAAGCATCAAATTAAATTATTCTTGGCATCCTGATCCAGTTTATGCCAGTGGAACTATGCCAACAGGATTTTGCCCAGTAGTCTTTGGAGGTGCAAAACTTCCATCAAGAGTTTTGAATCCAACAAAATCTTTTTCCATCCTTAGCTATCTATATAATCAGAGCTGAAATAGTAGTTGTTTGAACAGTGAAGCACGTTGGTTGTCTCTAGTCTAACCTCTTTGCTTCCTTTCTCAGGAAAACGCGTATGCATGGGAGAACAACTGGCCAAGATGGAGTTGTTTTTAATATTTGTGAGTCTCCTCCAAAGTTTCACTTTTCAGTTCCCTGAAGACTCCCAGAAGCCATCCATGGAAGGACGGTTTGGTCTGACTTTGGCTCCATTTCCATTCAATATAATTGCCTTAAAGAGATGAAGGAACCTCAATAAGGAATGATGCATGAAGCTTGCATTACTATGAAATTCAGGGCTTTCTAAGAAACATATTTTACTAACAAAATCACCAAGCAGGGATGGATGGGGAACCTTCAGCTGACGGGGCATTCAATGCTCATCATACGCTTTTGCCTTAGTCTTGAAGGCTCTTTCATTAATTGTGTGGAAACCCTTAACTGTGAGGAGCAAAACAAAGTTTCTAGTCCTCAAGGGTTGCAGGGTAACTGGAAAAACTCTTAACAATCAGTCATTAAGTGGCATTTTATATTACATGAGAAGCAAAGGGGGAAAAATTGAAAATCAGAGGGACAGACAATCGCAGAGGAAAATCAACAGAATAAGAAGCAACTGTATATTTTGATATCTCTTTGATAAGAGTCTTGGCTCTTGACATCCTCTTTGTACATCAAGGGTACGCAGAGATGTATCCTGTCAGCAGAATTTGCTGTCTTTTTATTTCCTTGTGGGTGAGTCTAACTTCCACCAGCCTTCACTGTGAAAAAAGCAATCTTGCACATAGCCGATTCAAGTATTGATTCAGTCAGTCAGGTTTGCCCCTCCTCCCATAATTCAGAGAGGCTGACCATTTTTGAAAAAGAAGTATCACATGTACCTGTTTAATTAAAGGGACATTTGATTTCATTCTCTTTAATAATTAAAAATAGTTTCTGAAATGAAGAAAACCTTTTTGAGGAGAGATGGGTTACTGATGTCACTGATTACAGACAATCAGCACTGTGCAGTTTCCACTGCAACTGTCTCATCTTGGTAGTGTTGCCTGACAAGAGGATCAGAATCTGGTAATAAAAATAGTATTTCCACAGCTTAGATAAAGTATGTCTGTATTTACCCTGACATTTACTTAGTAGATCCATTCATTACTGTTATAACTAGAGACATTTTGGAGTGCCTTCTAGTTATTTGTCCTTAAGGTTTGTCTGTGTTACACTTTAAAGTTCTATGGGGCAATTTGTTTACTTAAATACAGTATCTACTGATGAACCTTGTAAACACAATTTCACAAAATAAGTCTCTTCTTATTCACAATTATGTAACAGACATAAGCGATTAGAACAAAATATTAAAATTTGTACACCCAAATCCTCAGCAGCACCACCAATACAGAAGTTGCTTTTAGAATTGCAAAGTTGGTGTATTTTTGAATTTCAAATTCAGACAAAATTCCAAGGTATCTTCCTCAGTTGGGCTGGGTTTCCATAACACAGAAGAATCAGCTCTACATGCAGCCTTCAAAACCCTACATCAAGTTGGCAAAGGCCTCAGCAATCTAAGTGACAACAGCTGCTCGGGTCTCTTTAGCTCTATTGCTCTTTTCAAACAGCACAGGATTCAAAATGAGCAGGAAACAGCATTCCCTCTAACCCCGAACATGCTCTTTTTGTTGCATGTGGGACAAATCCTTCACTTCATGCTCTCCCTTGCCTTCTCCTAACTTTGGTGAGAACATGAAGACACAAATGTGTATTCATTTCTGTTGCCCAGGAACATTGATCAGTTGTGTTTGTGTGTGTGTGTGTTTTTTTTTTGTTAGCATGTTTACAGCGTATGTTTAAACACTGTTTTGCAGTGGTGACCATGAATACTGGAAAGGTAAGGCACTTTAAGAATGGCCACCTTTGAAGAGGACAAGCAATTGACAGTAGCTCTGTGTGCATGCCCTGCATGCATACTCCTGGAAGGGAAACCATACTGCCAAAATCTTGGGCTGATCTTTTTGGCAGGAGATAACTCACTTCAGTGTAAATGCAAAGTTCATTTCTAATTCACTGCCAGCTAGAGTGCAGTGATGTTTCGATAAAAAGAGACACAAGTCTGTAAATCAACACTCAGCACTCTATGGCTGAAATCCTGTTGCTTAGTAAGTGCACTAGAGTAAGCCTGTTGAATCTATAGGGATTTGGCGAGTCAAATCTTCTGTTAAGGTTCATTGATTCAAACGGGCCTGCTTTAGTTGTGACTTATGTTCACACAGAAAATGCTCTATAGAAAAACTTCAATTGCACTGCTAACTTTTAGCTGAATACTGTTAGAGCAGCGAAACTTTTAAGAGGCAAAACGCACTGAAAGGCAAGTGATACAACAGATTTTTTATGGCATGTAAGCCCTCTTGTAATAAAGCAGCCTTTTAATGAAGCACTTTATTGTTTTGTCAGGATCCAAAGATATTTATATTTTGATTAGCATGGGGGCCTCAACTAAGGATTATGTATCTGCAGATGGCCTATATCACCTTGCTTAAGTTTACCTTGCTTGTGTTGTTTCCCCCTCCAAACAAATGCCTTCTTTAGAATTTCAATATGAAGGATGTCATTACTGTTAGAAACTGAGACCATTGCTCTTTTTAAAAGGTGCCTCTACTTCTACATATAGACTGAAATCTGTTTCTCAGTGTGAATCTTTGTCTAAATAAACCTTTTAAATTTAAAAGCACTGATGTCTGGAAACTGATCTTTGTTTCAAAACAAAAATCTACTGATGGATATATACTGTTACTGAATTTATCCAGCATTTTTTATTTGTCCTTTCTAGACATTTAGGGTACCATTTCATCTACTCTGTCTTCTTCCCATACCCTTCTGCCGAAGTGTCTGTTTTCTTCCAATATTAATTCTTCAAAAAACCATTGGCTTATAAATGTGGGATATGTCAATTCTCTATCCATAATTAGAAATGGCCTGATATTGCTGCACAACACCTTGCCAGCAGGAAAAAGAATGCCAAACGTTACCTAGCAAAGTGCAGCCTGAATGTTGATGATAACAATGTCAGCCATAAAGATGATCTACAGCACTGGTTCTTAACCTTGGGTTACTCATGAGTTTTGGACTGCAACTCCCAGAAGCCTTCACCACCAACTGTGCTGGCGGGGGTTTCTGGGAGTTGCAGTTCAAAAACATGCGAGTAACAAAGGTTAAGAACCACTGATCTACAGGATCCCCTCTTGTGCTTGCTACCATTCACAAAGAGACACCAAGCAAGGGTAAATCCCAGAATGTAACTCTTCACCCAAACACACAGCAATTGTCAGGGCTGTGTTTTTTTTAAACAAGTTCTCTAGGTATCTGTTGCTTGGGAACAAAGTAATCAACATTCTTTGAAAAAAAAAATTGTCTTTCCGATTAACTATATGCACTCAAATACATGTCTGGGAAGGTGAAAGGTATTGGACTGTTAATCCCCAGAGAA